ATAGCGGCTTCGTCACACATGAGACCGTAATGCAAACACACGTAACTGTAATCCTCTGTGATCCTTGAGGATCACCGTATGCAAAGAACAATACCTAATTTCTACGAAATCTCAGTAATTTTTACCATTTCGACACAAAGATGCCAATTTGACTAAAATAAATACAGACCGATGCATTTAACTTGAAATCCCTTATAAATTGTTGTCCAATGGTCACCATACATATGTATGTTTGTGTGAGTGTGGGGTTAAATACATGAAAACTCAACAATAAATAAATGGCTGTATTTATGTAAGTGTGTAAAGGAAATGCGTCATCACTTCTTCAAGAACATGTTGAAGGATGACGGACATATCCGGTTCTTGTTTCAGTCACCACGTTGTGGGTATCTATCGACTACATTCGAACAAACAAATTCGATCCATTCATTATGAGACCTACCGCCCGGCACCACACGAGTCAAATTAGAATCACTGTACTTCGTGTTATAGAAACGCAATAGACTCATAGAAGCATGTGGCAGGTCTGAATGTTGTTTAACAATTCTGTATCACCTACAAAGACCACTTGGTACTGAAACAAAGTTGTCCTTCGTGCTTAGCTAAGCACCACGCAATGCAGAATTATGTTGGAGTTAAATTATATCTTCATGTACTCTTAACCTTGGCACTAGACGGGGGTGACAGGTAAGCTTCTCACCCCGGCGGCTGTGTCCGTCCCCAGAAATAAATATTAATCAACAGAAATGACATCTTAAACATTGGTAAACTTCTACCAGACTACATGACAGAAGACAGCTATAATGAATCTGCATTACTTGAAGTTATGGATGGAAATGGATCGCTAAATTGTATAATTATTAATTTATATTTCTCAAAAACTAATAAATGTAGGCGCGAAGAATTTATTGTGATAATTCTGTTGTCTAGAAATACTAATAAGATTTTTATCGTAAAACCTATTGAATTAAAACGAAAGTTTTATTATGAAATTTGCAAGTGAAGTCAAGTGCTTAGCATTTCTGCTTCGTAATCGGAAGGTCCTGGACTTAATTCACAACCCACATACCGATTATACTAAGATATTCACAGTTTTCCTCCGACAAACCCAATTTTTCTGCAATTACAATGATTCATTATGAAACTTACCGCGATTAAAGAAAGTATTTTAATTTTTAATTTTAGATAAAAAAACATGATAGTTAAATCTACAGGATGTCTGAAAAATATTAATACATCCAAGGTCAATATTCCGTATTGTAATGCATTCGTATCTTTATGGGACGCTATGTATATGTTTATAGTTTAGATGCGTCATGTTTGTGTTTTCAATTCATACATATATTTATTCTTCAAGTCCATACACAAACTATTTTAATATTGATGTTAAAAATTAAAAATTAAAATTGATATAAATATTTCGTGCTATTCATCGTTCCTCGATGTTACAGTTTGCGCTATATATAACAACATGTTTCGATGTCTCAGCATCATATTCAGGGTTTTTTTATTTTTATTTTTAATTTTTTAAAAAATATGAAAAAAAATATGGAATAGTTTTAAAAATAAAAATAAAACCTGAAGATGATGCTGAGACATCGAAACATGTTGTTATATATAGCGTAAACTGTAACATCGAGGAACGATGAATAGCACGAAATATTTATATCAATTTTAATTTTTAA